TCTCTCTCTCTCTTAGCTCGCGAACCCAATACAACACATGGCTTCTCCCATCAGTTTATTCTCTTCATTTGCACCCACAGTACGAGCATTGGGTGAAATGTGAAACCTGCCCTCGAACTTTTCCTACTGAGCATAGCTGCGAGCAGTACATGGATGCGCCTGACCACTGGGCACCGGTCTTAGGGTGAAGGACTTACACTCGTACCTTCTTTTCCCAGGCTGGCGCCAATCAGCACACGAACATGAATCTAAGAATCATTGGGAGCCGACTGTTCCCTGCGAGACGTGCTTGTAATTTTTCCACGCCGAGGAGGTTATCGATTAGCATATGAAAGTTGAAGAACATCACGAGAACTACTGTGTGTAATGCGATCGACGCTTCTTGGCTGAGAACTAGATTCACTAGATACGAGAAGCAAGCCAAAGACAGACCGCATATGCACTCTATTACAAGACCGGTTTTAGTTTCCGGTCTATCACCTATCAGATCTGATCAATTAGCTTTTTTGCTTCACTACAAAAGAGAAAAACATCGCCGCAATGAATAATCTTAAGGGATGATAGGTGCCGACATACCGTTCCCAGTCTTAGTATACCTAACGAATGGGCCCAATATCTAGTGTGCTATAGAAGCAACGTTCTCAGAGTGCGAGGACGATAAGTGTTACTCTTTTTAATGAGTCCTACCCATCGGAAGATATTGCCGGCTTAACATGTGGTCAGATAGTCTCAAGAGTATAGGCTCCCTATCAGATCTTTTCAGAAACGTCAAAGCCGTTGAGCTGTTTTGACTTTCCTAATGTGGTCAAGTCATCGAGGCGTCTCTTTTAGGTATTGATGGCTATATTCATTGAAGAAACAGTGACCTCTCTTCACTTGTGACGAATCTGAACACCGTGATTAAGTATATCGAAGCTATTCTAAAAATCAAAAGGTGCTCACCTCTGGAACTCCTATAATCCTTCTCTGGTAACTTTCTCTAATTTTTGGTACCCTAGATATGCTTACCTCCCGTCAAGATACACTCGTCGTTTCTTTCTCTTTCAGAAAGCTTGCCTTTTCGTTGTTCTATGTTTACCTTCTTCCTTTCCTTTAGGTCCGCGCTTCTCTTTCTTACCTCCTCCGCCTTCTTCTCGTCAGCTGTCGTCCTCTTCTCTAAATGCATTTATCTCCGCCCGGCCATCTGTTTGCACATCAGGCAACGCAAGGTAGCCCTTTGGAGTTATTAGGTCCTTCTCAAATAAATTTTGCACCACCCGGGGAATTGCTTAGATCAGCTGTTACATGATCCAGTCAACATCCACGCGATTCAACAGGCGCCACTAGGATAGGCACAAAGGTCTTTTGTCTATATCTAGACTGATCGAGTTGGTGTCTCTGCTGTACTCTTGTAGATATTGAATTGCAGCTCCGATCACTGATAATTTCGTCCTCAATATCCGGATCATCCTGGCTGTCAGGGATCACAATCTCCTTACGAACGATACCCACGTCTTCGTTCTCCGATCCAATCCCGACTTTTTCCAACGATTTCCAATCTCATCATCTCTAGCTTGGCCTGTAGATCCCCCTTGGTGTCTTCGTCTTCATCCGGCATAAAGCCCTCAGCGCTGTCTTCGACCTCATTCAGCAAAACGTCTTCATTGCTATATTCATCGCCGTGGCTGCGCACATAGATTTCAGAATCAAAGTCGCCAGATCGAGCCATATAATACCACCTCCACTTCACTGGCACAGTACACAAATGAGGTTCAAGCAAGATCAAATATGTCTACAAGCAAAAACTTACAACATCCCACGTCTGAAGCCCGTTCTAGCATCAAGTCGTGAACGTGTCTGCCTCGAAAGAGGTTTGCTCTATGCGTTATACTGGGCAGTATGACTGGCTGACTTTTCATGTCATTGAATATTGTTAACGGGAGATCAGGCTTCCTCAACCTCGATGAAAATCTACTCGTAATAATCACTTCTGGGCGACTCCGCAATAGATAGATGGGCTGAGCTTGGCTTGGTTATCCTCACTTGTAGATTTCTGCGGATCTATGCACTGATCACCCATCACCAAGCTTTTCTGAGCGATCATTATTGAGGCGTAAATACCTTCTTGTTGATGGGTTGCACTCAGATCAGAAATATATGAAATTGAAATATCCAGGACATCATGTTCTTCGGTAGACACAGCAAATGGTTGAGATCAAACCCACATTCCGGGCACAGTAGATCGGCGAATCGGCATTTTTGTGACGTTTGTGGATAACCCAAGAACGTATCACAACGCACGCGCGATATGATGTAGAAGCTTGATCAAGAAAAGCTACGTGCGACCGACAGTTTAAGCAGGTTTGTGGCAAGGTTGTACTTTGAGTCTAATAGTGTCTCCGATTAGGGCAACCATATTGGGTTTTCTGGTGCGGTCCGACTATACTGCTCTTGGTCAGGCGCCAAAATCCAAACTTGGCCGAAGTACTCCGTACGTTAGGGGGAATTTGATGCCTGGGTGTCTCATTTTAAAACAGCAGAAAAAGCAAGATACCTTCAATGCTATTTAATACACATACCGTAGTACTCAAAGTACATCAACTTCTACTGGTGTTACAGGGTTACAAGACATTGAGTCTTTTCATTCTACCCAAGTCCAGGTATCTTCATTTTTCTAGGTGTTTTGCAGGCAGTCTCTTGTGTAGAAAAATGAAGCTTTTCATACTGTGTATTACCGTTTGTTGCAAATCATTTACATTTACATTGGAGATATAAGGGTCTGTATGGGATGAAAAGCTGCAAGTAAAATGTGAAGGATTTACGTTCCACGCGGTTTAGAGAAAAGTGCCAACTCTGGATTCCTCTGGATTTTTCCCGCTCTGCATTGTGAATTTAAACGTGGTATTCACTTCATCGACTTAGGTTCTATGGTCTAGCGGTTTAGGACTCCAGATTTTGACACACCACGCGTACCTTCTGGCAACCCCGGTTCGATCCCGGGTAGGACCTATTTTTGACGGCGAATTTTTAAATCACTCGGGATCGATTCGATCTAGAGTTTAATTCAAATTTTGATACTGTTGTCCTATAGCTTTTATACAATTCGTAGGCACTAGTTTCCGGGAATCCTTCATACTTAAGTATTTATAAAAGAGACGATAGTAGGTTTATCTTTTAAATCGTAATGTTGTAAGAAGGCTCCCTGCAACCTAGGCTGAAATTCGAATCTAGTTTTTAAACAGAGTAAGTTTTAATTGGGGCTTGAGATTTTTTAAATTACTAAAAACTAGCATTTTTACATCTTTCTTTTGTCTAGTTCACCTAGTTAAATGTACAATTCCGAGCGAGGGTCCCTATTTTTTGAAAATATTTTTGGATTTTTAGGGGCCCGCCAGCCTAGATTGTGCCTATAAATTGACTTCACATCAACTTGCCATATTCTTCTCAAAAAGGGATTTTCTTGACATCCAGGTTCTATGGTCTAGCGGTTTAGGACTCCAGATTTTGACACGTCATGTGAAACTTCTGGCAACCCCGGTTCGATCCCGGGTAGGACCTCTCGCGTTTCCTTTTTTTGACCTTGCGAAAGGGGTAGAGTAGCAGCGCTCAACCCCCGGGGAAGTATGTCAGAATGTCCTAGGGTTGTGTGTCCTCACATCTACAACATTATCACTTTGTCTTACTCCTGCTTAAAGTTGTAGAATCATCTTTAGGATTAAAAGACCAAATAGAAAAAAAGGTTCTGTCAAGGTTAACATCACCCCCGGTCCCCTTTCCCATTCCTTGACTTCTTCTCCTTACTCACTCACACCTCCTGAATAAGGGGCTGACAGCAACCGACTTAGCGACGAAACCCCCTTCTGGTTTTAGTGCCATAGTTACTTAGCTACCACGGGCCTCTTACCTACATCATTATATCGAGGATAGCACTTCCTAGGCCCCTTTTTACAACAAGGCTCCGTGTAGTCACTTCCGAGACCGCTGGCTAGCGTGTAGGAGTCGAAGATAATCTTGAAAATCCGAAAAGCACTGGTAATTCCTACGAACGCAATGTACTCCAGTGGTGAACTTGGCCCTCGATAACTCGGAGACCTTCCATAGAAACAACCACAAAAGAAACCGAAAGCGTTGTTTCTAAGCGGAGTCTCGAAGTACTCTTTCAGTGGCTATACCTTAGAATGGTCGAATTTGATACACCTCCTGCGGCACATCGAGTCCTATTAATGGAATCTTCATCTTCTTCTCCCGGGGAACTTTTGGCTCCAAATTCACGGACCAACAGCGACGATCATGGTCGGACCCTCAAATGAGCCTTTCTATATCTACGAATCCACCATCTGCGCCTCTTCATTCCTTTTCAAAAATGCTATATTAGGGTTGTGGAAAAAAATCCGAGGAGCCCACTTTCGGGGGAAAAAAAACCATCCCAGAATCTGGATCTAGAAAAGAAAGACCAATCAAGGTGTGCCAGAAACCCCGGTTCTATCCAGGCAGGACCTTAAATTCTTTTGTGTAAACATATGATGGAGTCTCTTTGGATAGATTTTGTACATCTCCGTGGCCCATGGATTTGAAACCGGCTGGGATGGTATGATTCATCTCCTAATACCTTGACATCGATTTCTTTCGAGGCAGCCTGGATCGAAAAGGTCTCGTTTATTATATCATGAGCACGTCAACCAAATGAATAACAGGAAAGAGAAGAATATTGGCACCATGAGTACATGAGGTTCATGACAGGTAGAACAGCTGTCGAGCTGGACCGTCGATCTACATCGCGGGTACGCCCCTCACTTCTGCCACTCACACGGCCATACAGCCGACAAGGCTCCCCATTTTTCTGGTTTCAATGCAGCGGACCCAGTTCCCACAGGTATCTTACTATATCATGCTGAACACAACTCATATCCTACTCATACCGAACACCTCTGAGTACCTAAATGCTCACCGCAATTTTTGTATTGAGTACTATTTGTGCCCTCATAGACCACGTCCACTTTTAAGCCTACTTCGTCTTGGATATTGATATCACCCCATCATCTCTGTCATTGCAATTTTAATGGACTACTTGATACTTGATATGATGTGAGGCTGAAAGGATCAGTTTACTCAAGTTGAGAGAAGAGGAGATGTCGGGGATGGCTTTTGATTTCTTATTTGCTTATTTTTAAGGAGAAGGAGTGGGCTACAGTGAGGCATTGTGGTCTGGGTTGGATCATACCTAGATGCCTCAGCCATATAACTCCGTATCTAGGTGGTCTTTGGTAGGATGTTCAGCCCTTCCCATTCCAGGACCTTGCTGAACTATGTTGGTCTCCACACCAATCAAGGGCGCCCTTCAAATACTCCCTTTCCGTCAGGTTTTCTTTCGCCAACTAAGATGTTTATGATTTGGAGTCTTTTAGTTACGGCCGCTTTGGCAAATGCGAATGATTTGGTCGGAACATGGACCACCAAATCTCGTGACGTTCTTACTGGTCCAGTATGTGGAACTACTATGCGGAGTGTGCAGTACGCAAATTGCTCGAGACTGACGCGCATAGGGATTCTACGATCCGCTCAACGACAAGCTGCTCGAGCCAAATCTAACGGGCATTTCATACTCATTTGATGATAATGGAAATTATGAGTCGGCATACTATCGCGCAATCTCAAATCGTGAGTTCTCATGGATACATGGACCCTGACGTTGTATTGATATCAAACAGCGGCCGACCCATCATGCCCGGGAGGGATCTTGCAGTGGCAACATGGCGCTTATACTGTGTTCGGGAATGGAACGCTGAAATTGACTCCAATTGCTGTCGACGGTCGTCAGCTATTGTCCGACCCCTGCCGGAAGCAGTCAGGGTACTATACGCGATACAATACTACTGAGAAGTTTAAGGTACGTCTCTTTTGTTTCCCTCTACCGGCCCATTCTGACAGTTCACAGGATTTTTCCGTTTACGTCGACGGATTTAATCGCATTAAACGCCTAGATTTGACGAGGGATGACGGCACCCTCGTCCATCCCATGTTCCTAGCCTACCAGCCACCAAAGATGCTCCCTACCACGACATTGAATCCCACGCCAAAAGGGCACCAGCAAAAGCGAGAACTATCATCAAATTCTAGATTACGGCTGATCGCTAGAGAACAGCTGATCAATCCGGACCGATGGTGGTGGCTGGGTGTTCTAATGACATCTCTTGGAGGGGTAGCTTTCTTCTGCTCATGAACCTTTTGGGCTGGCGTTGAATAGAAGTTTGGGATTCGTTCTTTCAGTAAATGATAAATGAGATTTGAATGCCCTTTGATTGAGGCTATTGTGACACTAAAATACAAAATTGGCAAATGGAAGCTTAAGAGAGCGCGTTCTTCACCTCCGTAGCAACTTCTTTCCGGTCCACTGGCTTGCCATCTAAAGGCCCCCCTACAGCAAAGAGAGCTTTGAGGATGGTTCCCTGGTTGGGCTTCGTATTGGCATTGATCATAGCAGCGATCTCATTGATAACCACTTCCTTGATCTCGGCAATGGGGAGGGTCTTGACCTGACTAGCATATTCTTCCAATACCACAACCTGTGCATCCTCTTTCTCCTTCAGATCTGGACGGTCAGCGGCATCAAACTCGTTTGCTGCATCTCTGGAGGCATTAATGCGTTTCCGGATAAGTGACAAGAGCTGAATGTCTGTCTGGATCGGCGAGGCGGTTTTGGCGGCGTTGTTGGTCTCGGAGATCAAAGCACGAAGTACATTCAGTCTAATGATGAGCTTTCTGAACCCCCAAAACACAAGTGGAAAGAATCTCTACCTTGTGGTGTCTTTGGCTCTCATAGCGGTTTTCAGATCAGTCCGCAAAGCAGCCATCAAGGGTGGCAAGACCGGTCCGGTAGAGTTCCAGCGTACCAGGCGAGCTGGCACGCGCGAAGAAAAGCGCAGAGATTGAAACATTTTAATGGACAAGCTTAAGCAATAAGAAACAAGCTCAATTGACGGATCAATGGGAATGGGAGACAATCAACAATCAGTACCGTGAAGGCGGAAGATCTCAGTTGGTCTGTGCGCTCCCAGGTGTTGACTCTCTCTTTTCGCAAAGACCTTGAATAATCCAATCTCCTCCCAAGACATTCTCTCATCGTCATTCCCCCACATTTCTTCTACCTTCTTTTTTTCGTCCGACCTAGACTGCAGCTTCTTTGTCATTTCTAGCGGGGGATCGTCCCTTTCTCCCTCATCAAAACCGCCGCCATGTCGTATCCAACTCTTCCAACAAATCTCCCCCCGGCGACGCCGCAGAAACCCCTTCCTGGAGCTTACTTTCAGACCCCAGCGCCAGCTACCGCACGGCCTCTTCCTTCAAAGTCGCCATTGCAGACGCAACCGCAGACGCCCATGCCAAAGCTCCCTCCAGCAGCCTCAAAGACCAAGAACCAGACAGTGAGCACCGAGGAACGCGGGGCCCGGACGATCAATAGCAGCCTGCAAAGCGAATCGCGTTATCCAGACCTTGACAGCTATTTGTCTCGTAAGATTTTCCAACTAAGACTGCCCGAAGCAACACTGACAAGAAACAGAGGGTTCCTCGTCTGAGTACAACATCCCGATATCTCAATCATGGGCACCATTCCAAAAAGTCAAGATGTATGATATCCCCGATCAGATTTTCGATCAATACAATCGCGCACAAGTTTCGACCAGCATGGGTCTGTTTGCCGAGTTAAATCACGCGTGGGTCGCGATTGACAACGCATTGTACATTTGGGATTTCACACACCCCAACCCACAATTGGTGGGATTCGAGGAACAGCCTAACAGCATCAATGCTGTCAAGCTGACCAAACCGCGCCCGGGGGTTTTCTTGCCTGCAATCACTCACTTGCTGGTCATTGCGACGACTGCGGACATTATTCTGCTGGGAATGGGCTATGAGAACACGCCTAGCGGAGGTCGACAAGTTTCTCTGTATCACACGGGGATGTCGGTAGCAGTCCGTGGCTTAGATATAAATGTTTTCGCAGCATCAGCATCCACTGGACGCATTTTCTTTGGAGGATCATCTGACACCGATGTGCACGAGGTCACTTACCAACAGGAGGAAAGGTGGTTCCAGGGCCGCTGTGGCAGAGTCAATCACACCAGCTCACGTCTATCGGCATTCAGGCCCTCGATGAGCCTGACAAATCTTGCACAAAGCGCCGCCGAGCACGTAGTGCAGATGGCACTTGACGACAGCCGAAACTTGCTATACACGCTCTCCTCCGCGTCTACAATTCGCGTCTTCCACATGGGACCTGAGGGCACTTTGACACTCGCAATCACTAAACGCGCTCTGGATATCTACTCTAACATCGGGCACATCATCACCTCAAACGAAACCCTCAACCCCAGAGTCAAGATTGTATCCATCAGTCCGGTGCCAGCTACAGAAGCCTCACGATATCATCTAGTTGCAACGACGGCAACAGGCTACCGTATCTATCTCAGCGCCACTGGTTCAAACAGTTGGGCGCCTGCATCGACCAACACCAGCCCCCCCACAAGCATGCAGGCACTGCATGTCAAAACACCGCCCGTTGATATTTCCCCCGGCGTGAGCGGAGTGGCATCTTCCAACTCACTTGTTTCACCTCTTGGCGCGGTTTTACCTTCTGCTGGTCAGATTAACACACTTTCACCTACTCGTCTTGCAGAACGATATTCCCCAGGCTATTTCTTCTGTTTTACCACCAAGGACCCACAACAAAAGATCGATACCCTTTTCATCTCAACTCCCGACTCTGGCCGGGTCGCTCAGTACCAGGAAAGCTCAGTCAGTGGTAAAGCCGCTGAGTCGGCGATCATTGTCGACCTGGGAGGCAAGGCCGAGGACATTGGTCTGGTTTCGGCACCTTCACCGGTGACGAACGAGTTGGCCGTTCAATTCGACCACCCGGCTGCTGAGATCGCGATCTTGACTAATAGTGGAGTTCATATCATTCGTCGGCGTCGTCTCGTGGATATCTTTGCAGCTTTGCTCCGCGGCAGCGGCAATCCTCATGAGGGACTGAGCGGCGAGATCCAAAATTTCCTTAGAGCATATGGACGGAGTGAGATGCTGGCGACTGCTCTGGCGGTGGCTTGTGGCCAGGGTATGGAGATTTCCCCTGACCAAAGACTGACCAGAATTACCGATCCGGACATCCTGGCGGCAGCACGTCAGGCCTTCATCACTCAAGGTGGTCGAGCCCATCTGAATGAAAATGCTATTGCGGATGGCTCAACATCCGCTCTTGACGCAGTGCAGCCCTCTCCTCGACACACGGGTATTGCACTTTACATTTCCCGTCTGTTGCGATCTATCTGGAAGGAAAAGATTGCCAAGGTGGGTAATGGACCTAATGGCGCACAATCCGTTTCTGCGTCCGTGAGTTCCAGTAAATTGCAGACTGTACAGCATGATCTCTTGTCACTGGCGGAGTTCTTCAAGGTGAACAAGACTTTTATCGATGGACTCAACGGTCCCGACGCTCTTGCCCGGGTAAATAGCAAGCAAGAAGAAGTGGCGCTGCAAGCCGAGCACCGCGCATTACACTCACTCGTTCAGTTGGTGTCACACACGATCGAAGGCATCTCATTCATACTTGTTCTATTCGATGAGCGGGTTGATGAGATTGTGGCGGCTTTGCCAGCCGATTCGAAAGCAAGGTTCCTCAGCCTCACCTTTGAGGAGCTCTTTAGCTCCAGCAAGGGACATGACATTGCCAAGGAGCTTGTGAAGGGCATCGTCAACCGCAACATTGCCAAGGGCTCCAACGTTGAGACCGTGGCTGATGCACTTCGACGACGATGTGGCAGTTTCTGCAGCACAGAAGACGTGGTGGTTTTCAAGGCACAAGAGATGCTGAAGCGTGCGACTGAGGCCGGTGCCAATACGGAATTGGGTCGCAACTTGCTCAACGAGAGTCTGCATCTCTTCCAACAGGTGGCCGAGTGCCTACCTATGGATTATCTGGTTTCAGCTGTGGATAATTTTATTGTCAACCAGTTCTTTGCAGGTATGTTGTAGGATTCTGGTTTTTGCTATCTCATGCTAATCAGTTTTTCTTCCTCGTTTTTCTTTGAAGGTGCCATCCAGCTTGCCCTCAACGTTGCTGCTCGTTCTGACAAGTCAAACCTTGCCTATTCCTGGATTATGGATCAGCGTCCCGAACAGGTGCTTATCCCCCTTATTCCCTTTGGATCCCAGCGCGAGCACATGCTCACAACCACCCAGGACCCCCGCAAGGAATACTTTTATTTCCGCAAGCAGTGCTACGATCTCATCTTCAAAGTCGTGCTTGCAGTTGACACACTGGCTGCATCTGATCCCGGTCTCATTGATGGCCAGCTGACGATGATTGCTAAACGCCAGAACGAGGCCTATGGCGTGATCTCCGATTCCACCGATGAGGTGTTCCTGACGAGTTTGTACGACTGGTACCTTGAGCAGGGCTGGAATGATCGGTTGCTGCAGACCCAGTCGCCATTTGTGGTCACCTATCTCCAACGCAAGTCAAACGATGATCTAGGCCACGCTGATCTACTCTGGCGTTTCTATGCCCAGTCCCAACGATTCTTCGAAACTGCCCAGGTTCAGTTCCATCTGGCCAATAGTGCTTTCGTGTTGCCACTGAGTCGTCGTATTGAGTATCTTGGTCAAGCCCGCGCCAACGCTTCGATTTTCACACCGGACGTCGGGCGGCAGTCAAGGCAACGGTTACTGCAAGAGATTTCGAACCTCATTGACGTGGCCAACATTCAGGATGACCTTCTCCAGAGACTCAAGGATGACGAGCGCATTCTCCCCGAGCGGAAACCCGAGATTCTGCGTGAGGTCGATGGACCAGTGATGGATATCAGTACAGTAAGTCCTAGGATTTTCCCACTACGAATCTGTATTATTTATACGATACTAACCTTGTTCTAGCTATTCAACAAATACGCCGACTCCGCTAGTTACCATGACATCTGTCTCCAAATCTTCTATCAAGCCGACCATCGCAATGCGGCCGACATCAAGTCAACTTGGCAACACCTGATCCAAGGAGTCCATGACGCCACCGTTCAACGCGGCTCACCGCAACCTTACGAAGCGGTGATCGACAAAGTCCGCAGCCTCGGCAGTCGCCTGCGGATGTCCGAAACCGTTTTCCCCATTCGTGAGCTTGTCCCCATGCTGGAGCGGTATGCATTAGAGTTCCAGCGGAACGTCGGCCCAGCAACCTGGGTGGTAGATTTGTTTATCGATCTTGGCGTGGCGCACGAATCTTTGTACGCAGTACTGGAGACGATGTACTACACCGACGAGGCGCCCTTCCACGGGTCAAACCGGCGTTTTATTGCACACGACCTGCTGTACCTGCTGAGTGGATGGTTCCATGAGACCGTGCGCCTGGGCGGCATGGTTTTTGGCTCGGATATCGTTGCCGAGCGTGTTTCTGAGATGCTGCTGATCCTGCAACAGAGCGGTGTCATCAGTGGGGAGCAGTTGGAGATTGCTCATGACTTGCGGTCACGGATCGATGACATTCTTCGATGATATGGCGTCGAGGAGGTGATGTGGGGGACTGGCCATGTAGTGGTACAGATCTGCGTGGGGACTCCTGAGATTTACTTGACATTTGGTCTTGTCTTCGGGATCGGTACTTTTATTTTTTTTTTAAAAATTCTGGGATTTCATGTTTGTAACTCTAGGCGTGGGGTGGTAATGAAAACGAATTCACAGTCAAATTTCTGCAGATACAGGGAACATAGCCCTGATTTCCATTGCAATTGATCTCTTTCAATCCAAATTTCAATCCAAAGCTCCAGAATTATGATATGATCTATAAGCTGACCCGAAACACCGACATGATCCCATCACATTATGCAGTCTATTCAAACTCATCCTCATCCCCGTCTCCATCCTCATACACCGGAATGGGCTTTTCACCCAGAGCGATCAAGCGGAAGATGTGACGAGTCTTTGCACAATAATCATCATCCAAGTAATCCACAATCGCAGAGTCTAAGATTCGTTAGCAAGGTCCTCAGTTCGGA